GTGTTTATTTACCGCGTGAAAGTTGGCACCTGTGCTCCTGGGCAGAGCAGCACAGGTCTCCCTGAGCAGGTGTGTGTCCCAGGCTGCTAGGCAGAGACGGCGGGAGAAGGAGGAGGCAGCGGGCAGTGTGTTGTGCTCACTGTATTCACCTCTGCACAGCAGCAACAGACATGACAGAACGTACATTAAACAAAAAGGTTAAAAATTCTTTAAATATTCCCACCATCAGTGCAATGCAAGCAAATGATACCACAGGTCTGAGCGGGGAGCAGCCAGCCCAGTGCACGGGGAAGAGTCCCGCTATCGCTAGGAACAAGTGTGCACTGTACAGGACGCGAGCAAATGGATGGACCCGAGCGCATGGCCGAGGGCTGAAGCAGCCACATAGGGCCATGCAAGGCTCCAGCTGGGACTGAGCCCCTCTCCTTTGATTCCCCTGAAGGCACAAGATTTCCAGATGCTGCCGGCTGCTGAATGGAAGAGATTCCCCTGGAGACAGTGTGAGGTGCACAGGGCCTTGGGGCTCAGCAGCCCAGCTGGGCCCAGCCTGGAGGTGGTGTGCCGGAGCGGGGCCGTTCCACTGAAAGCAGCTCAGTGCCTCCGAGCAGGGCAGAGCTGCAGCCCCACAGCTGGACACAGGCAGCAGGCTCGGCCCCACTGCCACATTCCTATGGAGGCTGCACAAAGCCAAAGCTCTGAGGGTAACAGACACGCTGGGCACCGCTGGCCTGCGGCAGCCAGCTGGACTCCTGCTGCAGCTCCTCCAGGGGACTCCCCAGGCTGTCCGCGATGGCTCTTAGCAGCAGACCAGGGCAGCTGGTCAGTTACTCCACACCACATGCAGACTCCAGAAGCCAGCCTGGCTTGCAGCTCTATTTGGGAAAGGCCACATCCCGCCTCGCTGCAGAGAGCGGCGGATGCTGAACCGCAGCCCCAAACCGCCAGGGTGATCCTGGCTGCCAGCAGAGGGGCCAGAGGCAGTGAGTGCCAGGGTGGGCAAGGAGGAAAGGTGCCCAGCAGGGCAAAGGGGGTGAGGCGAAGCATTGACTGGTCCCACAGCTGGGCTTTTTAGTGGTAAATGCTTTGGCATGGTGCTTTCCTGTGCCCAAAGGGCTGCGGGAATGTGTGCACAATGGACCTCCCCTCTAGCCTGTGCTGCAGGAGACAGCAGCTGCACGCCCCAGGGTGACAAGCTGCCTGGGGAGCAGTCCCAGAGGGTCCTAGGGAAGATGCTTTAGACACGTTAAGGTGCCAGAAGTGGCCAAGGGGCCCCTGACCAAGACTTCCAGGGCAGAGCAGGCACATCGGCTCCCCCACTGTGCCCAGAGTCCATGGGAGGGGGAGGAGTAATGCAGACGGACCCCCTCCCCCAAGAAATTACAAACCTATGCATGATATATACATACATACAGACCTATATAAATATAGCAAACCTGGGGCTTGCGAGACTGGCCAGCTACTGGAATGTGTCACTGGACCTGCTCTGCCAGCTCCCGCCCTGGCAGCCCCACCATGCGCTGGGGGCTCGCTCCCTTCCCGGTGGAGGGGAGCAGCGGGGCTGAGAAGGGGAGCAGCAGCAGCAGAAGAGCAATCCCAAGCAGCAGATTCGGAAGCATCCAGGTCTTCCCAGCCATGTGCTTTCCCCAAGCACAGCGAGGCCCTGCTGCAGTGTTCCCTGGTGCGGGGCTTGCTGCTCACAGCCCAGAGCATCTTTCGGGGGCTGTACATCGAGTGTCTCAATATAGAAATGTGCAAAACTGTAAACAAATCCCATGTGGCAGGGCAGCTGCTACCTTGTCCATCAGGCTGGGTGCTGCACGGCTGGGTGCCTGGGAGAGGCAAGAGGGTCCAGGCCCGGAGAACAGGCTGGGCTCTACAGCCGGCTGGGCTCTTCCTCACTGTCGCTGCAGTTTCCACAACAGTCCTGAAGTCAGAAGGGCAACAAGAGGGAGGAGAGGGAGAGAGGAGCACAGCAAGCAGAGGGTGAGCATGGTACAAAACAACACCCCCCAGCTGCCCTGAGCAGGGCGGGAACCCCGCCTGTGAGAGAAGGGACTCGGAGCCAGGGGAAGAGAGCCAGCACCCTCGGGAGGGGAACAGACAGGGGAGTCCTTCCAGCAGGGCCTTCTCCCAGGGGACATGCCCTTGAGTGGAGGAACAATCCTATACTGGCCAGCTCAGCGGCTTGAGGTGGGACCTCACGGGCCTTGCCCAGACTGAAAACCATTGAGGTGCAGAAGACACACAGCAGCCAGCTCACGTCTGACCCAATGTCTGCACCCCACACAGCACAGGGCCCCGCCCCTGGATCACTGGGGCCCACAAGCAGCCGGCTCCCTCAGCAGGGAGAGGACAGGGATCTGGACAAGGTAGCTCTCGGAGCCCATCACAATCAATCCTCGTGCCCTCAGTACAGACAGACTTATACAAATATACCAAACCCTACAGGCGAGACTCAGAGCCCAGGATGGTGGTCAAGGGTCGGCAGGAGCCTTTGGCTTCCTGGAGCCCCTCTCTGGGAGCAGGGCCCACAGCAGTGTAATGCAGGGAAGCTCTGACTGAGCGGACAGCAGTGGCAAAGCCCCTCACACAGAGGTGAGGCAGCGAGAGTGCAGGGAAGCAGGGTTAGTGGTTCACGGGGCGATTCACACACACAAGCAGCATCTGCTCTGCTGGGGTGGGGAGAGTGGGGGTTAGGCACTGAAGGACAAGACTCCTCTTCCCCAGGTCTTGCCATGTCCGCAGGTGAGTCTAGGCCACCAGGTATTCCCTGAGCAGAGCAGCCGGGAGAGGGGCTGCTCACCTCTGGAAAGAGAAAAGATGTGGCATGAGAGGCCCGTGAGTCACAACTGGGCAGGGCCCCATGTTTGCTGCAGCTCCCGCCCCCCTGCCAGGGACAGGGAGCTGCAGGCACTGCCAGGCCCCAGAGCTGGCTCAGAGCACTCCTGTGCCAGGACAGTGGGGTAAGTGGCTCTGGCCGAAGGCTCTCGAGGAACAGCACCAAGAGGGACAGCCATGCTGAGAGCCGCCGAGGGGAAAGCAGGAACCAGCGGAGGAGGTGGCTCTGACGTGCACGTGTGTTCGGGTCACACAGCTGCTAGGCAGGGGCTCAGAGGCAGCAGCAGGGCTATGCCCGTCCCTGGATAAAAACCGAGGCTACTCCAGGCCCGAGAACACGCATAGAGGCATGAGTCTGCAGTGGTTCTGCCCCCACTGTCACCTGCGAGCTGTGCGCCAAGCAGCATCTCTTCCTGCTCCAGGCTGAGCCATGCTGGGAGCCCCATTAACGCTGGGGACTCGGCCTGGCAGGATGACACTCAGGAGTCTGCGCACTGAGTCCTTCTTCCTGGGATGGGGGCACACACCTCAGCTCCCCCCCCACCCCTCCCAAACTACACAGATCGATCTAACCCAGCCATTTCTTCCTCCCCCCCGGCTCCCAAAGCCAGCTGCTGCAGTCCCTGGGCACCTCCGTCAGTGACGCTCCCTTCGCAGCCCCTCCAACCCATTCAAGATCAGCTCCTTGACCTGGGGCTTTGACTGTGCCACACCCTGGCCCTGCACAACACCCACTTCAAGTTTCTTGTCCTCACCTGTCCAGACCCTGTCTACCTCCGCTCCTCCATGTCCATCTGGCCTTCTCTCGTGTCATCCCCCTTGTCAGGTTTGCTACCTTGCCCCCTTCTACTTACTCCTCTCCACCTTCTCCACTGCCCCCTTCTGCATGGGACACCCTCCCTGAGCTGGTCTGCAAGGCCCCCCCTCCTGCTGCAATGCCAGCACAGGCAGGAGAGGGGACTGGGCATTCCAGTGCAGTTAGAAACACCCACCGTCCCTAGGTCTGCAGGGTGCCATGCCCCAGCCCACCACCCCTCGGCGTGTGTTCCAGACCAGACTGAGCTCTTCAGGGCAGCGTCCTTGTCTCCCTGGCAGCACCCAGCACAATGGGGCCATGCGCAGCCTTTGGGCACTACTGCCACATGCAGGGTAAGAGCTAACAAAGGGGGTGGTGGAGAGGGAGTTCGTCATCCTCCAGCACAGCACAGGTAGCATCCTGCAAACAGGCTGGAGCTGCACAGGGAGGGCATGTGCAGCTGCAGCAGGAGCCCGACAATCGCCCACCCTCTGGAGGGATGCAGGCGCTTGTTGATCTACTCGGAGCAGAGCTGCATGCAGGGGCCTGAGTCCTGCTGCTCCAGTTCCCCCCACCCTTTCAGATCAGAAGGGGTGTGTCCAAGAGCCTGGAGAGGCCCTGCAGGAAGCCCGAGAGGAGCCAGGCTTGGGGAAAAGCCTGTGTTTATTCAAGTTCCCAATAAAGACAAAGCCCAGGAAGTGGCAGTCAATGACTCGTGTAGACTCCCTAGAGAGCACGGGAGAGCCACAGGCTTTCACTAGCATCCAGGGCTGGGTTGGGCAAACTATTGCCCGGGGGCCACATCTGGCCTTGAGCTCCTGCTGGGGAGCGGGGTGCATGACTTTCCCCGCGCCCTGTGTGTGGTGGCTCCAGATGGCTCCCGGAAGCAGTGGCATGTCCCTCCTCCAGCTCCTATGGATAGGGGCAGCCAGGGGGCTTCGCACGCTGCCCCCGGCCCAAGCGCCACCCCCGCAGCTCCCTTTGGCTGGGAACCACGGCCAATGGGAGCTGCAGGGGCAGCGCCTGAGGACAGGGCAGCACACTGAGTCACCTGGCTGCGCCTCTGCATAGGCGCTGGAGGGGGGACATGCCGCTGCTTCCAGGAGCTGCTTGAGTAAACGCAGCCTAGAGCCTGCGCCCCTGCCCCCCACCCAACCCCCTGCCCCAGCTGTGATCCCTCTCCCGCCCTCCCAACTCCTTGGTCCAAGCCCAGAGCACATCCTGCATCCCCAACCCCTCATCCCTTGCCCCACCCAAGAGCCCTCATCCCCCCCTCCCCGCAACCCCAACCCCCTCCCGCACCCTGAACTCATTTCTGGCCACACCCCAGAGCCTGCACCCCCAGCTGGAGCCCTCACCCCAACCCCCAATTTCATGAGCATTCATGGCCCACCATACAATTTCCATACCCAGATGTGGCCCTCAGGCCAAAAAGTTTGCTCACCCCTGATCCAGGGGTTCGAGTGGTTGTGTCCGCGCGAGCAGATCTGAACTAGGGCTCACATGAGCTGAACTGCCCTAACCTAGGACCTAGGGCTTGGAGATTACTTGGCTGCAACTGGCATTCCCTTTTCAGCTGTCAGAGGGCTAGGTGCCCAGGATCGTGCGAGGACTGGAGGTACAGAGCCACCTCTTGCAGAGAGAAGCGACAAGTCTCTGCGATACAGACACATATTGTTCTCAGACCAAGGAGCGTGGATCAAGTGGGAAACATGGGAAGAATGGGGCTCAGGAGAAGAAATGGGGCTGGACCCCTGCCAGACCAGTTCACCATTTCCTGGGAGCTCCCCTAGCGAGATGCAAGCCCAATCAGCCCAGCAGGAGCTGACATGATCAGGAAGTCTGCAGGAGTACAATTCCCCCCCCCCCATCAGGCCATGTGCGCTACAGGGATGTCTGTGCAGGGCAGCAGCTTGCTTGGAGATGTCAGGGCTGGTAACTCCTGAGGAGGACAAAGCAGGCCTGAAAGTCCAGGGAAAGGAGTGGGCACTGCAGGCACCGGCAGACGACTCCAGCCCGTAGGGACCGGGGCAGGGAGGCCAGAGGCCCTGCCAGGCTCTGAATGCCCAGGAGAGGCTCTCGGCTGCCCTGGAAACCGGCCCACTCATGCTGGTGCCCACGTGTGAGACAGTGCTCCTCTGGTGCCCCCTAGTGTCTGGCTCCTGCCATTGATTCTCCTGGCGGGGGAGGGGGTGGGTGTGCTGGCAGTCGCAGTGCAGAGGGGAGGTGGGTGCCATCCCCGGAGGGTCCGCTCCCCACCAGGGGGTTTACCTGTCTGCTGAAGAGGCGCTGTAGCAAGCCCTTTTTGGGCTGTGGAGAAGGCTGTCCTTTCCAGTCCAGGTCAGGGGGCACTGCGCCATCCAGGCTAAAGACATTCAGCTCCTTGAAACACTCGCTCTCAATCATCTAGGAGAGAAAGGAGATGACTGCAGCCTGAGACACTCACCCACCTGCCCCAGCCGACAGGACCCTGGGCGCTGGACCCGGCTGACTGGAAAAGCCCAGAAAAGCCTCTATCCACCCCCCTCAAGGCTGATCACGCAGGGCACAAGACACTGCCAAGAACCCTTCACTCAGTCACTGCACGGAGAAGCAGGGTCACTGGGCTCCGGGGCCCCTTCTCCAAGGCCCGGACCTAGTCAAGTGCTATGCTATGGGAGGCAGCCCCCCCTGCAGTGCAGAGCCCCCCCCTACCTCATTCTGCCACGGGATGGGTACACTCCCTGTAGCGAACTTCTGGTAGAAGTCATTGTCTGTGGGCTCCAGCTCCACTCCCTTCACCGTGGAGAACTGCTCAATGTCCAGCACGTCCTTGCAGTAGATGGCCTGGGGCTGGGAGAGAAGCGGAGGCAGCAGTCACAAAACAGCAGAGCCCAGTCCCATGGGCTCTGCCAGAACTCCCACCATTTGCCAGGCAGTTCCCTTCCCACCTATCCCACTCATTCCAACAGCTTCCCTCACGTTGGGGAGGCCGGGGCAGCTGCTCCAGAAACACCCCAACCACCGTGGGGAGCAGGGGGACCACCCCATTAGTAGGTAGCTACAGGGCCCCTGCTCACCTGGGATAAGATCCTCACAAATGGGATAGAGAGGTAATGGGGAGCAGAGCTCCACACAGGGCCACGGCCTCTGATCTGCCCAGGAATGACACTTACATCTGGTTTGAAGGGGGGGTCCAGCATGCCGGCTTCCAGCCTCTTGAAGTTCAGGTGTCTGAAGAGAGGATGCTCCTTCACTTCCTGGGCGCCAGCTCCTCGACACCCCAGCCGCTCCCCGGGGTCTTTGCACAGCAGCTGCAACACAGCGCAGCAGGGTGAGAACTGCAGGCAGGGGCCTGAGGAGGAAGACACCTGGAACAGCAGCACTTAGCGGGCTAGGCTGGGCTTTTGAATGACCTCCCGGAGGGCAGGCTCTCCAGCCAAGCAGGTGCTAGGGCGAGTCAGTGCACCCTGCAGCCACCCCACATGCCTTGTTTTTGGATGCCAGGGTGCAACTCCCCCGCCAAGTTCAGGCAGCAGGCTGTGCCTGCAGCCTCATCCCCAGCCGACTCAGCTGGAACCAAAGGTACGCGAGAGTGTTAGCAGAGCCTGACACTGCTGCTCTGCCATCGGCAGGGGCAAGGGGGGACTCCATTTTCCCCAGGGGTGCTCCACCCAAGACCCCGCTCCCACCACCCCCACTCCACCTCTTCCTGCACCTGCTCTGCCCCCTCCTCAAGGCCCCTGCCCACTTGCTGCTCTTCGCCCTCCTCCAAAACCTTCTCCGAGCTGCCAAACTGCTGTGGCCAGTGGGTGCTCAGCACCCACTATTTTT